AACCTAAGTAAACTAAACTAAGAAGAAGGAAACTAAAAATTGATTTTTAAATTATCCATTTTCAACAGGGGAAAAAATGCTCTCTCTGAATGACTTTTCTCTGCTTGACAAAGGCATGATGCCACCGTGCATGGACGATGATCACTCAACCAAGAAGGTGAGAATAAGGGAACGTCCCGACTGGCTGATATTGGGGGAGGAGGACATTTGTGCCACAACCTTGGGCGAGAATGTGGAAGAGGCTAGTGTCATAGATTTGACAGAATCAGAGGATGGGGAGTAAAGTAGGGGACTTTACGGGCGCTGGGAAAGCAATCGAGTATCCTTTAAAGACAAACTTACTAATGCAAAACTGGCGAAAAGTAAGGTTGTCGACTTTAAAATTGGAGAAGAGGATATGATACTGGCTTCGGATGGGAATATCTAACAGTGGCATTCTCGGATAAGGTCCATAATTACCTGGTTTAATCCATGAGGAACTTGGCAGTCGTCCGTCTGTTGGTAGAGCCATCAGCTACCGACCTCTCCCCAACCGCCTTTAGAGCCTCTAGCGGCTTGCAGGAACATTTCAACTACTTGATCTTGAGAATAATTTTTACATGGAAAAATTTACCGATCCCAACGATTACTCACATGCATTGATCGGGGGCCCTTGAGTCATCTATGGGCATTACTTGATGGTGCAACCATGGACGGCCTCATTCTTAGTCGATGATGACCGTCTCACTTCGGTGGTCGCCTAGGTCACTTTATGGGGCTGCCTATCTAATATTACCACAAAGGGGTGTTGAGAGCCATTGTCAGGACTGTTGGTTCAGTGGTGAGGATTGATTATAATACAAAGTCGACGGAGAGGGGGACGTTTGTGCGTCTGGTTGTCTCGGTGGACCTAACCAAGCCCCTGGTTTCTAAACTCTGGATATAGGGGCACCTTTAGCAGGTGAAATATGAAGAGCTTCCAATGATTTGCTTTGAGTGCGACTGTTACGACCACCTCCGAGAACACTGCTCGAGGAAAGCCACAAAAGCCCTAGTTGATGAAGCCACTTGAGGAGAAGGAAGGAATCAGTCTATGCCGCCCCAGCCAGTGGCAGAAGGAGAAAAATTCGGACCTTGGATGCAAATGACAAGGTGAGGACGGAGGAGCGACAAAAAAGGAAACGACTCTATAAAAAGGAATGGCCCTGGATTTGCCAGCCGTAACGGGATGCTTTGAGCTGATTGCAGAGATTAGGGAAGAAGATAATATTAATGCTGATTTGCATGCAAAATTATAGGGATTATGTGTGGGGGGTGTTAATGCTAATGAATAAAGGAGAGAAAATTTGGGCAATCTCAGTGAGAGGGTGGTAGATAAGGAATACAGTTTAAATAAGTAGAAGGAAATGGAAAGAAGTAAGGTCAAGCGGGGCTGGGTTTTTACATGTGGACAGGGCCTTCGTAACATGCCCGAAGGCCCAGGCCCAGTAATGATTGGAGCGCATGGGACTAAGCAGCCTGTTGCAGGTAGGCCCAGTGAGGGGAATATGGGCCTCTCAGTTAGTCCAGACTCAGCGACCTCGATCCATCAAGGTCCAACTCTCCTGGACCCGACCAAGCACTCGGTTATTTGGATCGAAGACTAGGGCGTGATGACTTCCCAAGCCGACCTGGCCAAAATCGGGGAGGCCGACGTTCCTTCATTGAACTCTCGCACCTAGAGGATGGTCTAGCCCCCAAATCGGCGGCGCTCAAGCATCCAGGTGAACAAAACATCGTGTCGTGACTATAAGGTAAATAAACAATGCGAGGAAACCTTGGACACGTCGACGCTTTCACAGCGGAGCTCCTGGGCTGTGCACGCATAGGACTGAGGGTGGTCAACAGTCTGACGGTAGCCAGAACGAAGGCCAGCCACACCGCTGTTGACGGTTGATTTCGTTTTGGGTTAGGATATTGTCCTTTTTGTTAAGTTTTTTATGGATTTAAGAATTCTCACTTAGAATTATCAAGGTGCTGTTAATCAACGTTTGATTGTCAACACTGACCGTCGATACTCACTTTGATATAGCTGCGCGTCTCGAGAGAAAAAATGGATTGCATCATTGGTCACCTTGGTTCGAATTCTTCTCATAGGGTTGAAGCCCATGGTTTTAATGGGTGTCTTTGGCTTATTTGGATTGATCCATTTCGAGTGGAAATCCTGGTGAATAATATCCAGTTTATCCGTACCCGGATTCATTACAACGGTAGTGAGCCAGGTGTCCTCTTTACTGCTGTGTATGGGCTCATATCTCTTAGCAAAGTAGTACGATCTAGGAACCGTGGCTACTCGCTGGGGACTTCAATGCGATTATTGAGGGGTCTGATAGACAAGGCGGAGCCATTAGTGGTAGTGGTGGGTGCCCTCTCTTCTCCCAGTTTATCGGTTATAATGGCCTCTCTCAACTTGACTTTATGGGACCTAAGTTCACTTGGCAACAGGGAACTCTACTCCAACGTCTGGATCGGGCCCTCATTAATTCATCATGGCTTGACAAGTTTTCAGACTCCTTCGTACAACACCTTCCTAAGATCTAGTCTTATCACAAACCTTTTCTCATCAGTTCTAAGACGCACAATACACCGAGCTCCCTGCCTTTCCACTTCTTTGTCGTTTGGCTTACCCACCCCGGGTTTCCTACTTTTGTTCGAAGAAGATGGAAACGTGGCACTTCATTCCAAGCTACTGTGGATAACTTCTCTCACCACACTAAGACTTAGAACACTATGGTATTTGGTAATATATTTCGTAGGAAGAGGCGGCTTATGGCTTGTATCAATAAAGTCCAAAAGGCTCTTGAATCTTCCTCCTCTAAGTATCTGAGAAAGCTTGAGGCGTCTTTCCGTCATGAGCTCGAAGTGCTCCTCTTACAAGAAGAAATCTATTGGATGCAGAAGTCAAGGTGTGAGTTTATCTCTCTGGGGGATAAGAATACTGCCTATTACCATGCGCGGACGATAACTAAGCGGCGACGCAGTAGGATTCTTATGCTCCAGAACGAGATGGGGAATTGGATCTCGGACGAGAGTCGACTCAGCCACATGGCCATTGAATTCTTCCTGCACCTATATTGCGGGGAGGCTCCTGATAGGCCTGTTTTCGCTATTCGGGGTAGGTTCCCCGTTCTCAGCTCTGACAGTATCGCCGTCCTGAGTAGGCCTGTCACTAGGAAGGAGATCCGATGGGCCTTTTTCAACATGAAACCCCTCAAGGCGCCTAGGCCGGATTTCCTGCATGCTGCCTTCTTTCAGCATTATTAGGACGTTGTTGGCAACTCAGTCTGTACTATGGCTACTAGGATCTTTCAAGGCAATGAGTTGGAGCCTCGCCAAAACAAAATGTTGATTACTCTAATTCCTAAAGTGGATAGTCCCAAATCTATAAAAGACTTCTGACCCATAAGTCTGTTCAATGTCTCGTATAAAATTATCACCAAGGTCATTACTAACAAACTCAAGAAAGGTATACCTCGACTGATTAGCAAAACGCAAGCAAGTTTCGTTGAGGGCCAGAGTATCTCGAATAATATTTTCATAGCCCAGGAGGTTATTCACTCTATGAAGTACAAGAAGGGCAAGACAAGTTGGATGGTGATTAAAGTGGATCTGGAGAAGGCTTACGACAGGCTCAGCTAGGGGTTCGTTGAAGAAACCCTCCGTGATGTCAGCCTCCCCCATACTATGATTCGGACCATCATGCATTGCATCAATTCTGGCTCCATGGAACTCCTCTGGAACGGTGCGGCCACGAAAGAGTTCACCCCCTCACGGGGCATTCAGCAGGGGGACCCTCTCTCACCGTATATCTTTATTTTGTGCATGGAGCACATATCTCAATACACTGATCAGTTAGTCCGTCATGGCGATTGGTGGCCAATTACTCTAAACGTGGGAGGCCTCCAACTTTTGCATCTCTTCTTTGCTGATGATCTGATCCTTTTTAGTGATGTCTCCAGTAGTCAGGTGCACTTTAATAAGAGGGTGTTTGACGAGTTCTGCCAAAGCTCCAGCCATAAGATCAGCATGTCCAAAACACGCATCTTTTTCTCCCACAAGGTTGCTGATGGGGAGGTTTCTCGTATTAGTTCCGCTTTTAGGTTCCAGGTTTCCAATAAGCTGGGTACGTACATGGGGGTTCCTCTCTTACATGGTAGGGTTATTAAAGAGGCCTACAGGTACATTTTAGACAATGTACGTAGGAGGCTTTCTAGGTAGAAGGCTACCAGCTTATCTATGATGGGCAGGCTAACCCTTGTCAAGTCTGTGGTCGTGGCGATCTCGGCTTATGCCATGCAGACTGCTTCGCTCCCTAGCTCTTTGTGTGATCAGATCAACCGATTAGTGCGGGATTTCATTTGGGGCTCCTCTATCGGTGCAAGGAATACGAGTCTCGTTAATTGGCATGAGATGTGCCAGCCTATCACACATGGGGCCAGTGGTATCATAAACCTTAGGAGCCTCAATAAAGTCTTCCTCATGAAAGTTTGTTTTAATATTATCGCTCAACTGCACCTCCTTTGGGTCAAGGTCCTGCGGCATAAGTATAACTGAGATCTTTTTCATAGTGTGACTAAATACTCTCATCTTTGTTCCCACCTTTGGAGGAAGTTAAGTGGCCTTTGGGAGGATGTCCACTTAGGTTTGGCTTGACACACTGGGGACACCACGATGGTACGATTATGGGAGGACAATTGATTGGGAGGTTGCGAGCCACTTGCTCCTTATCTACCAACCCCTTGATGATTCTAGTAAAACTCAAACGGTTAGGGATTTGGTCACTCGGCATGGTCAATGGAATTGACACTAGTTACAAAATAGGCTCTTGACTAGGATCCTTCTTCATCTCGCCATGGCGCGGGTTCCGCAAGAGGGCTTAGAGGCTGATGTACCCTACTGGGGCATCTCTGCAGATGGTAAGTTTTTGATCAAAACCGTTTATCATATGATTTTTGACATTTCTTCTCTTTTTGCAGATAAGAAATGGAGTCTTACATGGAGCTGGCTGGGAGCACAACGTATTCGGCATTTCTTGTGGCTGCTTCTTAGGAGAGGGCTCCTTACCAGTGCGGAGAGGGTCCGACAACATATGGCAGATGACCCGGGTTGCACGATATGTGGTTGTGGCATCGAGGACGTCAACCATGTTCTGAGGGAGTGTCATCAAGTGCAGGCTCTATGGTAGAAGATTATTTCACGCACGGCCGCCCACGCCTTTTTCAGCATGACTTTTGACGAATGGCTCTGCACCAATTTACAGAATCAATATAGTTGGTGCTCTTCTTTCCAAGACTGGAGGACAATTTTTGGCATCACCTAGTGGTTATTATGGAAGCAATAGAACGCCCTGATCTTCAATGGTCAACCGCTCAGTGTGGATGAGCTGAGACATGAGATTTTTAGGATGACAGAGTATACATTTTAGGCCTCCAACTTCAGTTCCAAGCTGTTGGACCGCCTTAGCAAAAAAAACACGAGGTTAGTCAATTGGCATCCGTCGCCCCTGGATTGGATCAAGATCAACATGAATGGGGCCCTCCGTGAGAATAGTGATGTTGCTTGTGCTGGGGCGTTGGGTCAGGATTGTGTGGGACATTGGCTCGCGGCCGGCTCCAGAAAATTGGGTCTTGCTTGGTACTTCAGTTGATGCTTTGGAGTGCCTTGGAGGGGGTGGAGCTTGCTTGGAATCTTGGATCGCGCCATGTTATCCTGGATATTGATAGTGCTCTTGCTATTCAATTTTTGAACAAGATAATCAATAACGAGATAATTGCCACAAATACAAATTTCAATCTTCTGCTTACAATTAGAACTTGTCTTATAAAAGACTGAATTATT